CCACAACTAGACTGAAGAACAAAAGGACAGCAACTTGTCTGTTCCCCTTCCCCCAATTCCCCAGCACTGTTCCCATCCCCCCAATACCCCAATAAAAAAAAATCTTCAAAAAAAAATTATGAAAATGGGAGTAAGTCCAGTGTCACTGTGAGCCAGGAGGGGGGTAGGCACCTGGTGACCTTGCACCTCTCCTGTCCCAAGTTCACCTGTTGATTCTGTCCTGGGTCAGCCCCAGAGCCCAGAGTTTCTTAACCTGGGGTCTTATATGTGTTGTTCCAGGTATAAGAACTGGGGCTTTCAAGAGCCTTAAAGGGAATAAAAAGACAAATGGCCCAATTTAAAAATGGGCAAAGGATCTGAACAGACATTCTTCCAAGGAAGACTTACAAATGGCCAAGATGCACACGAGAAGTTGCTCAGTATTATTAGCCTTAGAGAAACACAGTTCAAACCACAATGAGATACTACCTCACACCCACTACAATGGCCATAATAAAAGAGACAGATAATCACATGTGAGGCAAGGATGTAGAGAAATCGGAGCTCTGGTTCATTGCTGGTGGAGTCAATTCAGAAAATAGTCTGGCAGTTCCTTAAAAGGGTAATTTAAGTTCCTTAAAAGGATAGAATTACCTTGTGACCCAGCAATTCCATTCTTAGGTGTATACCCAAGAGAAATGAAAACATATGTCCATACAAAAACTTCTACACAAATCTTTGTAAGACTATTATTCATAACAGCCAAAAGGTAGAAACAACCCATATATCTACCAACAGATGAATGGGTAAATAAAATGTGGTCCATGCATACAGTGGAACATTCTTTGGCAATAAAAAGAAATGAAGTGCTGATATATGACCCGACACAAATGAACCTTAAAGCATTATGCTAAGTAAAAGGGCCCAGTGACAAAAGGCCACATATTGTATGATGTATGATTCCATTTATATGAAATATCCAGAATAATCAAACCCTTAGAGACAGAAAGTAGGTTAGTAGTTGCCTAGCGCTGGAGGGTTAGGGGGAAACGAAATGAGGGATAATTGCTAACGGATGTGAGATTTTCTGGGGGGAGTGGTTCAAATGTTCTAGAATTAGATGGCGGCGGTGGTTACAAAACTCTGTGAATATACTAAAAATCATTCAATTGAATAGTTAAAGTAAAAAGGGGATTGTATGCCCACAGAGAGAGACCACAGGGAGTGGTGGGGACCATGAGGCCCTGCCTAAAGGTAATTTACATTTTTTAAAAAACTAATAGATTTTATTTTTTTAGAGCAGTTTTTTAGGTTCACAGCAAAACTGAAGGAGAGTACGTGCAAAGTTCCCACGTAGCCACACTCACACATATACAGAGCCTTCCCCGCAAGCATCATCCCACACGCGTGGTCCATTTGTTACGGATGGATGAACCAACACTCTTCTGTCGTTTGTTAGCCCAAACCTGTAGTTTACATGAGGGCTCATTCTTGGTGTTGCACATTCTATGGTCTTTGACAAATGTATGGCAAGTATCCGCCATTGCAGTATCATACAGGAAAGTTTCACTGCTCTAAAAATGCTGTTCCACCAATTCATCCCTTCCTCCCCGTGACCTTTGACACTCACTGATCTTTTCATTGTAGCCATAGTTTTGCCTTTTCCAACATATCATCCAGTTGTAATCACACAGTAAACAGGCTTTTCAGACTGGCTTCTTTTGTTTAGTGATGTGCATTTAAGTTTTCTCCCTGTCTTTTCATAGCTTAATAGTGCTTTTTTTTTTTTCAATTCAAGAATTGGGAGAGGGAAGCAGTGTTGAGGAATCGGGGAAGGGGAACAGACAAGTTGCTGTCCTTTTGTTCTTCAGTCTAGTTGTGGAGGACGTTGCTTCACTGGCCTATGTTGGTACTATCATTGCGCTCTTCCCGGGGGGAGGCAGTCGCTCTCCGGCCATTGGACTGCCGCTCACGGCAGCTCACGAAAGCTCACGCCCGCTGCAGGCCAGCCCCACTGCAGCCTACGCCTGCGCCGGCGACTCACGGCAGCCCAGCTCCAGCTCAAGCTGCTGTTCACCATCTTAGCTGTAGAGGGTGCAGCATCACTGGCCCTAATGTGGGATTCGAACTGGTGACCCTGCTGCTCAGAGCTGGCACTCCCAAGCCAACTCAACCAACATGCCCCTCGGCTGGCCCCCACACAACAAAATATTATTCAGTGCTAAAAATGCACTACTGGCCAGCCGAGGGGCGCGTTGGTTAAGAGTTGGCTTGGGAGCACCAGCTCTGAGCAGCAAGGCCCAAGTTTGGATCCCATATTAGGGCCAGTGACACTGCCCTCTACAGCTAAGATGGTGAACAACAGCTTGACCTGGAGCTGGGCTGCCGTGAGTCGCTGGCGACGGCGTAGGCTGCAGTGGACTGCCATAAGCTACCATGAGCGGCCGGCAGCCGGTGTGAGCTGCCAAGATCTGCCGTGAGCAGCCGTCCAGTGGCTGACGACTAATGTACCTCACCTGGGAAGAGCACAATGATCACAATACCAACATGGGCCAGTGAAGCGACGTCCTCCACAACTAGACTGAAGATGAAAAGGACAGCAACTTGTCTGTTCCCCTTCCCCGATTCCCCAATAAAATCTTTAAAACAATGTGTATGCACCACAATTTGTCTATTCATCTACTTCTTCAAAATGTTGGCAATTCTGAAATAAAGCTGCTATACACATTCATGTGAGGTTTTTGTGTGGACTTAAGTTTTGTCAAATACTTGGTTTGTTTTACAAGACCCACCCACCCAGGTGCTAATTTGGAACCCCTTCTCTAGAGGCCTTATGAGCCTGGTCCAACTAGGCATGCTCACTTTTCCAAAAAAAGGAAGACAGCTAGTAATTATTTGATCCCCTGGGTATGCTACTTCTATGTATGACCCCATTGCTCCTCACCACCAGCCTCAGAGGGCTGCATTTAACCGATGGGTAAACTGAGGGTTGGTACCCTCATTTCTGTGTACTGTCCAGTGTTCTCTGAGAATCATGGACCGCTGCTGCTAGAAGGAGCCTTAGACATTGCCTAGTCAGATCCCCTTACTTTATAGATGAAGGAGCAAAGGCTTAGAGAGTCAAAGACATGGACAAAATCTTGGAGTCATCCTTGACATCTTTCACGCAGAATATA